GAAAAAAAAATAAAAGGAATAATGTACAAGGGTAAAAAAACGAATGAAAATTCTAAGGTTGAGCTATTGTAAAAAAAACCAGTTCTTTCTGGAAAAAAATGTGTGGGGTATGAAAATTATAATTTTTAATTAATTAAAAAAATACAAAAATTTGAATAGTCTTTTTAAAAAAATTAAAAAATTTTAACCCATAAAAAAAAAAATAAAAAAAAAAAAACAACAAAAAAACAATTGTCTTAATAATTAATTATAATTTATATTTAATGAATTTCACTTTATAGAATAGTTTTAACCTTATATTTTATTTAAAATTTAGATTTATAATATTTATTTTAATATATTCTCTCGTTTGATATCCAAAATACCTAGGTAAACTTTTACATTGAAAAAAAGATTTGAAAAAAAAAAAGATTAATTATTTTATTATATAAATTTTAATCTTTATATAAATTGGTAATATATTTATAAATAAAATAAAAAATATTTATTAAATAAAGATTATAATTATTTTATTTGTTTTTTTTATAATTTATAGTTTATTTTTTATTTTTTTTAATACAATATTTAATAATTTTTTTTGTATTTTTTATGAGTATAATGTCCTATTTGTTTTTTAATATTGCTCTATTAATTTTTCTGTTTTTTGTATAGCTGGTTGAAAAGTGACATCTAACTATTGCTCTATCAAAAATAGATTGGATACTGAGTGATAAAGATCATGATTTAGGTCTATAAAACTGCGGTTATAATTTTAGAATTACCTAATTCAAAATATGCTGATACATCTGATATAATTGATTCACTTATTTCAAAATAATACCATCAATACTAAACCTTCTGGTGAAAAATATAATAATTTACTTTTTAAATAAAATATAATTATTATTAGTTTTTTATAAGAGTTGCATCATTAAAAAATGAAAGAGTTGTCAGTTATACAAGCAAATCAAATTTCCAAAAAGTTTTAGAAGTTTTGGTAAAGTAATGAATGTATCAAGAATATGATGAATTAAAACTAAATCAAATTTTTCAAATATTACCAAAAATTCATACCAAAAAAGTTTAAAATCATTAAAAAACAATAATAAAAATAATTCTAAAAACAATAATAAAATATTATTTCAAAAATTATTGATGGTAAAATTTTTTCAAAAGATGAACAAAGGAAATGATTTTTCTTTTTTTGTGGGTAAAAGATCATTATATGACATGTCGTCAGAAGCTGTAATTCAAGTATTGTAGGGTGACATTCACGATGAAAATCATTATAGTATTTTATTAGATGAAGATGACACCAATGAAAGTGATAATTTAAATAAAATAATATTTTGATGACCAATATTTATTTTTTTTTTTTAATTTTTTTTTTTTTAAATTTTTTTTTAAAATTTTTTAATTTTTTTTTTTTTTAATTTTTTTTTTTTAATTTTTTTTTTTTTAATTTTTTTTTTTTTTAAAAATTTTTTTTAATTATTTTTTTAAAAATTTCTTTCATAAAAAATTTTTTTTTTTTAATTTTTTATTTTTGTTGTTCAACCACAACAATACACACATCGATTATGGTATACAATTTATTTCTTTTATAATATTTTAAACAATCAAAAAGAGTCTTGAATAACCTGTAAAGAACCCGAATTGTTTGGCTTTTATGTAATAAAACAATTGATCAAAATAAACAGAAGATATCAGCAAAATTACTCCAATCAAACCAAAAAATGAATATGATGAAGGGGGTGAAAGTAATAAAGAAAGTAAAGAGAGAATAAAGATTCAAGTTTTGATGAAATGAACTCTTCAGAAGAATAAATGAACTCTTCAGAGGAGTAAATGAGCTCTTCAGAGGAGTAAATGAGCTCTTCAGAGGAGTAAATGAACTCTTCAGAGAAGTAAATGAACTAATAAATGAACTCTTCAGAAGAATAAATGAACTCTTCAGAGGAATAAATGAGCTCTTCAGAGGAGTAAATGAACTCTTCAGAGGAGTAAATGAGCTCTTCAGAGGAGTAAATGAGCTCTTCAGAGGAGTAAATGAACTCTTCAGAGGAGTAAATGAACTCTTCAGAGAAATAAATGAACTAATAAATGAAATCTTCAGAAGAATACCACTTTGGTTTTACCAAAAACACTTGTAGAAAAAGAACCATAAACAAATATGAAAAGTATAGCTCAGGATCGAGGTTTAAAACTAGGATTGATCCTAAATTTTCCGGACCCTTTTTCCTAAAACTCGATCCTAAAAATCCTTCATATAAATCGTGTATTTTTAATTATAATAAAAAAAAAACCTTTAATACATTACTTTAATTGCAATTTTATTGAATAATATTTAGTATTTTTTATTTAAATTAATTTTTTTTTTTTTTTTTTTTTTTTTTTTTTTTTTTTTTTACAAATTTTTTTTTTCCCATAATCTTTTATCAATTATTTTGTTTTGAAAAAAATTTATGGATAATTTTTTAAAATTATTCCAAAACCAATTATATCATGAGTCGCTTGCATTCTGTGTTATAGATAGACGTGTAGGTGCTATATAATTGGAAGAAGAAAAGTAACAAGAGATTAACTGTCAGTTAATTATTATAATGATTAAACTGCTAGTAGGTCTCATGACAAATCTTTATTATTTAAATAAAAAATTAAAAATTTTAAAAAAAAAAATATTTATATATATATTTAAATTATAATAATGATGATTGATTAATAATAACAATATTTCAGTTGATTTAATAAATAATTAGCTCCAGTATTTAAACATTTTTATTATATACTTTTTTATAAAGCATAAAATAATTTTGTTAAAATACTTTCGGTTTATTATTTTTCATTTTTAAAATTTTTTTTTTAAATTTTTAAATTTTTTTTCAATTTTTTTTTATTAAATATTTTTTTTTAAAAAATTCTATTAGATGGATGATAAATCCTCAATTAATTTAAATCAAGAATTTATATTTCAAGAAGGATGTGATTGGGAATTGGGTGAAAATGAAGGGTTTCAATTGGTTCCAATATTAAAAAAAAAAAAGTTTGAAAATCTAATTGTTTTGCGCGAATTTACAAATAACGAGTTATTGGATTATAATAATAAAAAAGAAGGTTACACAGTCGATCATGTAGTATCGTTAAAGGTTGTTATGATAGCATTTAACCAATATTTAATTAAAAACAATACTATGCCTATAAATCTGTAAGTTAAATAAATCAAACTAATTAATAAATCATTTTAAAATACTAACATTAACATTCATCTAATTTTTTATTTAGAGTTATTTCAATTGGTAACAATCTTATTAACACTTTTAATCATTCTGATAATCTATGCTATGTCAGGGAACCAATAAAAAAAAATAAAGACATTCAAACAAACATCAACAACATAGTTATTAGAAAATATCTAGACAAAAACTATGAATTTATTATAAAAACTGTTCAAAAGTTTAGAGGGCATTCAGTTTTTTTGTGGCTTGTAAATAATATATTCTCATATTATTATCCTAAATTAAATTTAAATGAAGTAATGCTCGAATTAAATAAATAAAAAAAACCATTTTTATTAAATTTTATTAATACTCTAATGTTTTATAACACCTAAACAAATAAAATACACTTTGATCAACGAAGAGGAGAGGTGATCAGAAAATTCGTGCTTAATTAAAAAAAGTGACCTATAGGATATTCTAATATTTGTAGTATATGACCCCCATAAGGTTTGAACATATAAAGTAGGAGTTCAAATTAATAATATAAATTAAGAAATTTCCCTTTTTCTTTGAAGTTGGTCACCTCACTCCTTAGTTGTGCATATTGCACTTTATTAGATATTTTCATAAAATTGCCGTGATAGTATAGTGGTAGTACATAGCATTGTGGCTGCTTTGACCCTGGTTCGATTCCAGGTCGCGGCATCTTTTTGATTTTTTTGTGGATCTCTTCCAAGTGATTTGCGTTTAGTTATCTTTACTTTTAAAAGAAAACCTAATGTTGATGCAATCTAGTTATTTTTTGGGTCTATTTATAATAATATACTATTATTATAAAAACGAAAAAACCTCGACAAGTGTTAACATCATATAAAATCGAACTTTTTATAGCTACCGAATTGTAGGCTGATTTTTACACCATTCGACAGATCTTGAAAAGATAAACAACAACACATCTTTTCCAAACTCCAAACACCTTCCCAAGAAATAAAAACAACACTCCAAAAACCATCATCAATCTAATATCCAAAGATCTTCAATCTTTAACAACCTTTTAGATTAACCCTCAATCTACAGCTATTCCATCTTATCCCCACACTTTACACTTATATCCAAAAAACCACTGATCAATCCCGCATTTCCAGCCTTTTACCGATATGTCTGATTCATCATCTATCTCATCTGAAACCATATATGATGAGTTTAACAGCCCCATCAACCACAACACCCCAGCAACGAAGAAACACGTTTACGAACTGTTGTCTAATGTTGATTTATCAATCAAAAAAATAAATCAACTCACCTCGCGTGAAAGAAACGGTGGCCTATATCGACTATCACTTTACTTAGGAAAAGATATCCCAAAAGATACCAAGGACAAAATCATCAAACTAATCGTTGAAAGCGACTGTTGCACAATCCCAAACGTAGGTCAAAACAAGGATAGTATCAAAATTGATATATCATTGGACAAAATACCAAAACTAATTGACCTAAGGTACCAACACAAACTCCACTTCAGATTATCTTGTCACGATCATCACATCATGACAATCACCTTAAAAACAAATGAAGAAAACCTCATCAAACAAACGGAGCACGGTATACTTAATCCAAGTGAAGGCGGCATGAAACCAACCCTCCATCATATTAAACACTTTGGACAGTACACAAACTTCTTTATAATGTACCCAGACAACTACGACCCTATAACTAAAATGGTAATTGGTGAAGACATGAGTTCATCCAGAATATCTTATAGAAATGTTATAGTCACTGTTAGAAGCAGTAGTAGAATACTACACAGAGAGAAATCTCAAAAGCACCCAAAAGAACCCACCACCAACAATAAACCAAAAGATGTCACTAATGCCGTACTAAAGGATACAGTCCAAACATCAACATCAAACACACAAAAACCCGCCCCAATTGCAAATCCAATCGATGACCAGAAAAATCATATTCCATTGGGTGACTCCATTTTCTCACCAATTCAATCAAAAATTAGAGCTACCCTCGATTCAATGGATTCACCAAAAACACCAACTTTTTCCTCAATCCAAAACAAAAACAAATCACCATTGACTCAAATAACAATTGCTAACTTCGCCAAATCAGTTGAAAATAATAATCCACAAATATCAATCGGGTCAACTCCAATTGAGGCCAATAAAGAGTCACAACAAAAACCAACAAAAAAAACCACTACTACCACCGCAATCCCAAATCTACCACCAACTCGTTCTAGAAGCAGTACTTTCCCTGCTCCCAAAACAAAGTAAATGGTTACACTCCAAATCAACCAGTGGAATATCGGTGGCTGTGGTACCAAAGATACATACACTTTAAAAAATGAAAACGTGGTTAATACATTACCTAACAACAAAAACCATCCAACTATCACAATTCTCAATGAACTAAACGCAGTTTATTCGAAATTCCACGACGATCATAAAGGTTCACTAACAAATGTTAATGGAATGGGAACCGGCGTGGCCATCGTCAATCACAACCCAAACATAATTAGTATCAAACAAATAGCTATTATCACTGGTAGAGCTACCATCGCAGATATAACAATATCATCAAATACTATAAGACTACTCGCAATATACGCACCAGCAGATAAGAACCAAAGAAATGAATTTGCTGACCAACTGCTTGACCTTTATAATAGCCTATACAATAACACAAACATTAACAATTCGATACCACTACAAATCATCATTGGCGACTTCAATTGCGCCGATTACAAAGAGGTACTAAACCATCCCGATAAAAATCTGAAGGAAGAAAGCCTAAGCTTATTAATAGAGTCTCTGGTTAATCTCAACAATCTGCACGATATAGATTACAAACTAACCAGAAACACTTTCTCACACAGAAATGGTTCAGGTGACAAACGACTAGATAGAATCTACATAGACAAAAGACTCATAAACCCATCAAACCAAAACCTCGAGATTAGATACACATCTTACTCCGATCATAAAATCCTCTCTACTACCATTAACGTAATCAACTGTTCACCAGCTCCTAAAAAGCCAAGGTGGAAACTAAATCCCCTAGTTGCTAAATCCCACAGTGTTATCACACTACTTAAAGCCCACCTCAAAGCCATATCAATACCAGTCAATCAATCAAACTTCAAATTCCAAAACCTAGAAAATCTAATGAAGGAAATCATCGTCTTTTACAAAAGACACCAAATGGAATACCTGAATAGAACCCAAGTTCAAATTAACAATCTTAAAAAATTAATGCTCCACCCAGATTTAGCAAAAGAAGCTGAAGCAACTCTTTTCTCTATAATTGAAACCAAGAAACTTGAAAATACATTCTACAATGATCTAACAAGATACACACAAGGCGAAATACCATCAAGATACTTATCATCAATTCTCCACAAGAGATCGAAGCAAAACCAAATAACAGCTATTAAAGACGATAATGGAACAACAATAGAAAATCAAAAAGCAATTGAGAATGAATTCCTAAAATATTTTAAACACTTATACTCAAAAAAAAAAGATTGCTCAACAACTCACAACAAATTACTAGCAAATTGGATAATTAAAAAAGATGAATCATGGGTTGATCTCGGCTCACCATTCACCGATTCAGAAATTAACGATGCTATTAAATCATCAAATCCTCATAAATCCCCCGGACCAGACGGTATAACAAACGCCTTTTTTATTACACATAAAAAACATCTAATACCAATACTTAAGTCAGCGTTCAATGATGCTCTTAAAGATCCCTCAACTATTTCAGATTCTTTTAAACAAGGCCTAGTTATCACTCTTCCTAAAAAAGGAGATCCACTTCTAATTAAAAATAGAAGACCAATAACACTCACCAACAGTCTTTACAAAATTTTTGCCAAAGTGTTAAATAATAGACTTTTAAAAATACTACCAAAAGTTATCAATAGAAACCAAAAAGGATTTACACAAGATAGATTCATTATTGACCATATTATAACAATGGAAAACATCATTACTTTCCTCAAAAAATTCAATATTCCAGGAATTATCACATTCTACGATTTCGAAAAAGCTTTCGATTCAATATCCCACGATTCAATAAAAAGAACCTTACATCATATTCAAATTCCAAACAATATTATAAATCTAATAATGGGACTACTAACAGGTTCAAGTGCAAAAATAGAAGTCAATGGACATCAAACTAATCCTTTCCCCATCGAAAGAGGTGTTAAACAGGGCGATCCCTTATCTCCAACCCTATTTATCTTGGTACTTGAATGTCTTGCACGAACAATTATTAATGATAAGAATATTGCTGGTCTACCACTGTGCCTTAATACAAATCAAAGAGAAAAAATGCAATGCTTTGCTGACGATTCCTCTACCTTTGCTTCTAACTACCACGAACAAACTATAATACTGAAACATTTCGATGACTTTTGCAGAGCAACCTCCTCAAAAGTTAACATAGATAAATCTACTTCAATCATTATAGGAGACTGTGGCACCCACTCATCACCAATACCTATTGCCAACACACCTCAACGATACCTAGGCTACTATTTTGATAGCCAAGGTATAGTACGTAAATTACCCGAAATCCTCAAAAGCATCCGCGCATCCCTTGTATTATGGAAATCAACAGGCGCAACAATCAAAACGAAAATCAACATACTCAAGTCATTTGCACTATCCAAACTTATATATCATCAATATATAGAAGACTTTAATGACCAAGAAATGAAAGAAATCGATAAACTTGTTATTTGGTTTCTATCAGCCCCTAACGTTAAAAGCTCAGGTGGTTTCTCAATTGGAGGAAAAAATACAGTATCCTTAATGTCAAACCAAAGATCACTCTTTCCAATGGAAAAAGGAGGTTGGAACCTCTGGGATATTAAAAAAAGACAAATTGCTCAAAAAATTTGGTTATTCAATAGATTTCTAGTTTATAAAAAAATAGGCTCCTACGAATCAGCTTATCAAAACAGCTGGGAATTCCAAATCAACCGAAACAACTACACTTCTTCACTCTTATATTCATTTATGAAACACTGGAAACAATACTTTGGAAATCACTCAAACAACCTTTATCCGATTATTGATACAAACAATAATGGTATAAAGCTAAAAGATATATATCTAAATATATTGAAACTACCAGAAAAAATTCCAAAAACATGCTTTCAAATTACCCTGGATATTAGAGGATACCGTTACGATCAATTATTCAATAATATATTAAAACTCAAAGATCCGAAAGGTAGAAATACACTTTTCAGATTCCAAGCAAGATGCCTACCAATAAATCTTCTACATAAAAGAACATGCCCAATGTGTAATATACCCATGAACAATGACCCTTATGGCCATCTACTATTATTCTGTAATTCAACTCGAGAATATATTAATATAAATTCACTAAAAGAATACCTATATGAAAGTACTGGTAAAGATAGCAGATGGAATTATAATAAAAGTACCAACACATTGATTTACCGAAAGACACCTCAATCCAAACTTGATAAATTCTATGGTGGCAGCGAATACGACTACCATATACACCCTCAAGATGAACCATTCCGATGGTGCTATAGAGATCTCGATTTCGATCTTGATAGAACACCGACCTACAGAAATATGATTTCAATTATCTTCCACCAGGTCTGGATTTGGGTATGCACCAAACTATTTAACAAAGAGATTAACCCAAATGCAATTGCTAAATCATTAAACTATAATGACATCCAACACAAATGGACCAAACTCGCCTCACTAGAATATGCAAGAACGATCCAATCAAACTACAACAACTTCCTAAAAGTAGATAAGCAAATAAATTCAAACCATATCCAAACCATTAGATCTAAAATATCAACCTTTTATAAATTACCAGAAACCACTTTGATCAATTTCCCAATCAAATACCTATAACAATACAAATCCTCTCACATACCATTTAAAAATTTTATTTAATAAAACACCGTCTCTTACACTAATAATATAAATTATATTATTAAGTAAGATTTTTTAAAAAAAAAAAAAAAAAAAAAAAAATTATTATAAAAAAAAAATAATAGTAAAAAATAATTCTATGGTGATAACAAAAAAATAAAAACAACTTTTGGAATTATTACGTTTTTTTTAAATAAAAATATGATTTTATAATATGATTTATATATTTTTTTTTTTAAAAATATTGATTTGCGTATTTGAACTGTTATTTTGGATCTATTGGATAAAAATGAATAATTTTTTTTCAAATAAAGATAAAAAAGAGATAATATTTTTTTTAAAAAATGGATAATGAACACGATAACGATAATCGGTAAAAATGGAGATAACGATAATTTTAGAACTCTAATTCTTATATATAGATATAGATTAAAAGAAGATTAAAAAGATTCTCTTCAATTATAAATATTATAAATTAATTTTTTTACATTTTTTAATATTTGGTTTATTTTTATTTTAGGAATTTGGGATTTTGAAAAAAAAAGGAAAAAATTATTACTTTGATAACTTCTAAAGTATTCAATATGATGACTCATGAACAATTTGCATTTGAACTCCGAACAATGGATTTTGATAAATTTGATGCTTTTTCTTTTTTTGGAATTCTTTTTTAAAGTTTTATTTATTCTGATTTCTCTTTGCATTCATCGTTTTGCTGATGGGTCCCCTTTATTTGTATGAGAACCTGGTAAAACTTCTGATCTACCAACTGAAGTATCATTACCAGTGTTGAAAGATTGTTTAATGAATTTTCTTGAAAAATTGTAATCTCTGATTTAATATTGTGATTTTCGGATTGGAGACCTTCTTGTGATATTTATAATTGTATAGAATAAATTTAAATAATTTTTATATAATAAATCTTGTTTCTATAAATTATATCTTCAGACAAATAATCATTCCCAAATTTATAAATGAATAAAAAAAAAATAAAAAAATAAAATTAATTTTCATTTTTTATAATACAAAAATTATATCAAAAGTGGTTTCAATAATATATCTTTATAAAAAATCACACTCAAAATTATAACTCGCCCTTCATTATTTATCAATAACAACGTTTTTGCAACAAAAAAAATTTTAAAATTTTCTAATTTATTTTGGGAAAATTTTTTTAAAATTTTGATAAATATTTATTTTAAAATTTTTTTTTTTATTTATGTTTTCATATAAACAATGGATGAGCTTCTGGGCATAATAATTGCTTTCCCAGGAAAATTTCCTATAAGCGAAGAGTTAAAAAACAGTAGTAACATTAGTGATAGGTAAGTACAAAAAATACAATAAATATAAATATAATATAGTATATTAATTAAAAGCATATTAATTGGTGTTTTCTCTTAAATTATTATTATAGATATTTGTATAAAGTTTGGAATAATATTGTTTTAAGAAAAGAAATTCATAAACATATTTTAAAGTTTATTGAACATAGGGTTGTAGATCTTGATAAATCAAGCTATCGTCAGTTTAAAGATAAATCATATATAACATCACTTAAGTGGTGTGATGATCCACTACCAAAAAAAAATAAATTTCCACCTTTTTTGACAAATTTATATTTGTACACAATACCAAATAGTCTCACAACACTCAGACTCGGTCATCCACTTAACAAATCAATTCTACCCGGCACATTACCAAATAGTCTCACAACACTCACATTCAGTAGTGATTTTAACCAAGTAGTTTCACCCGGTTCATTACCAAATAGTCTCACAACACTCACATTCGGTGATGATTTTGACCAAGTAGTTCTACCCGGTTCATTACCAAATAGTCTCACAACACTCACATTCGGTGATTATTTTGACCAAGTGGTTCTACCCGGTTCATTACCAAATAATCTCACAACACTCACATTCGGTGATTATTTTGACCAAGTAGTTTCACCCGGAACATTACCAAATAGTCTCAGAACACTCACATTCGGTCGTGATTTTAACCAAGTAGTTTCACCCGGAACATTACCAAATAGTCTCACAACACTCACATTCGGTGCACTCAGATTCGGTGTTAAATTTAACCAAGTAGTTTCACCCGGAACATTACCAAATAGTCTCACAACACTCACATTCAGTAGTGATTTTAACCAAGTAGTTTCACCCGGTTCATTACCAAATAGTCTCACAACACTCACATTCGGTTTTAAATTTAACCAAGTAGTTTCACCCGGCACATTACCAAATAGTCTCACAACACTCACATTCGGTTTTAAATTTAACCAAGTAGTCTCACCCGGCACATTACCAAATAGTCTCACAACACTCACATTCGCTTGTGATTTTAACCAAGTAGTTCTACCCGGTGCATTACCAAATAGTCTCACAACACTCACATTCGGTCGTGATTTTGACCAAGTAGTTTCACCCGGAACATTACCAAATAGTCTCACAACACTCACATTCGGTTATGATTTTAACCAAGTAGTTCTACCCGGAACATTACCAAATAGTCTCACAACACTCACATTCCGTGTTAAATTTAACCAAGTAGTTTCACCCGAAACATTACCAAATAATCTCGCAACACTCACATTCGGTGATTATTTTGACCAAGTAGTTTCACCCGGAACATTGCCAAATAGTCTCAGAACACTCACATTCGGTCATCAATTTAACCAATTATTTTCACCCGGCACATTACCAAATAGTCTCACAACACTCACATTCGGTCGTGATTTTAACCAAGTAGTTCTACCCGGTGCATTACCAAATAGTCTCACAACACTCACATTCGGTGTTAAATTTAACCAAGTAGTTTCACCCGGAACATTACCAAATAGTCTCACAACACTCACATTCGGTCGTGATTTTAACCAAGTAGTTCTACCCGGAACATTACCAAATAGTCTCACAACACTCACATTCGGTTGTGATTTTAACCAAGTAGTTCTACCCGGTGCATTACCAAATAGTCTCACAACACTCACATTCGGTTTTAAATTTAACCAAGTAGTTACACCCGGAACATTACCAAATAGTCTCAGAACACTCACATTCAGTGCTAAATTTAACCAAGTAGTTACACCCGGCACATTACCAAATAATCTCACAACACTCGCATTCGGTGATTATTTTAACCAAGTAGTTTCACCCGGAACATTACCAAATAGTCTCAGAACACTCACATTCGGTCGTGATTTTGACCAAGTAGTTTCACCCGGAACATTACCAAAAAGTCTCACAACACTCACAAGAACAAAACCTAGCTCTGGCCGAAAAATTTGTAATTACACCCCCAGAAATTTCAAAATACAATAAAAAAAAGGTAATTTTTTTTATGTTAGACTATTTCGAAATCTAAAAACTCGACATATTGCTTTTTTTCGAATTTTTTTTTTTTTATTTTTTCCAAAATATGAATTTTTTTTTTAAAATTAATCGAAAGACATAATTTTTTTCTTTTTTTACCAAAATTGGAATAACTTATTTTTATTTTTTTTTAAATGTAAAAAATTAATTTATTCGAAAGACATAATTTTTTTCTCTTTTTACCAAAATTGGAATAACTTATTTATTTTTTTTTCTGTCTTTTTCCATATTAATTTTATATGGTAAAAGACTTATAAATTTTATTAGAAAAATTGAATTTTTTCTATGGTAAAAGACTTAAAAATATTTTAATTTCTCACATTAATTTAATAATTTAAAAGACTTCAAAATATTTTCATTTCCCATATTAATTTAATATGGTAAAAGACTTCAAAATTTATTTTCATTTTCTATATTTATATGTAAAAAGACTATTTACAATAATTACAAAATCAAAGGTTTTTATTTAATAATTAATTTCTAATTTCAATTTTTAAACAATATTAAACCTTATCTAATCAATTTTTTTTTCTTTAAAATAGCACCTGTTTTTAATTTTTTAAAAACTAATGTTTGTATTTTTTAAATTATAAGCTAACAATAAATTTGGATTTATTTTAATTTATCTTTTTTTTTTTTTTTTTTAATATTTTATTTATTTTATAAAATCAGATCTAACTACAATGTAAAGGTTAGTTAATTCATTAACATATTATTAATATAAAAATTTTTTTCTATAAACTATAATATATTTTTTTCATTCAAATATTATTATTTTTATTGTAGTTTTAAATCAACAACATTAGTTCTGGTATGTATTTTATTCTTTTTGTTTTAATCGTTAGCCACGAATTTTTTTCAAAGTGAATGGTTAGAGTAAAGGTTAAAACCAATTTTAATTCATTTTGTTTATTTAATTATTAATTTTTTTATTTTTTTTTATATTAACATTGTTAGGTAACTTTCCAGTTGTAGTTTCACTCTGATGTCTGAGCTTCATGTCTCGTTTAGTTTCTCTAGCTTTATTTGAAATTCATCAATAATAATGTTCGGTAGCTTTCCAGATGTACCGGTAGTTTCGCTTTGAAGATGTATAAGCTCCATGTCGTCTTGTTGAATGAGTGAGATAATTACCACATAAAAATTATTCATTTCTTCTATTTTGCAAGTAGCTCAATGAGTTTTAATTTAAAAAATATAAAATATTAATATTTACTTGTTATTTAAAACAATTGATTTATGAATTTTGGGTATGATTTAATTAACTTATGAGATGGAGTTTAAATCTGAACATTCAGTTGGCAACACAAAATCTGCTGGGGAAACAGTGTTTTGGTAATTGTAAAAATTCATTGATGTAAAACCAGGTGTTTTATTTGGGGCATTTACAATTCTGGAAGTTAATGGTGAACAATATTCAGTTTCGACAAACATTTCTTGAATTGTTGATGAGTCTGAGATTGTTGGTTGGAGGATTTGGGTATTAATCATACCAAGATTAATTTCACCAACTTTGGTAAATTCATTTGTAATAGGAGTTACTGAAGTATATGGAACTTTAATACAAGTTTGGTAATCAAGTACCACATATTGGGTTTGCTATTTTAAAAAAATATTAGAATATAGTTTTTTTTTAAATTTAAAAATTTTTATAATTACATTTTTTGAAAATAACCAAGTTTTGCCTACGACATCATTACCATCGATATTAAGACCAAATGCTACATATACCTGTTGATTAGCATAGTCGACAGAGATATAACCAGATTCATAAATTGAAGCTTGTCCTTCTTGGTCCCCATTTTGATACACTCCATTTGCTGATACTACATCAAACAAAGTGTTATATCCACTTAAACTTGAAATTTTGGCAGCACAATCAATTTCTTTAATGCCTTTGGGTGGCATCTTGAAAGCATTGATGAAAGAAGTCGATAAAGCAAAAATTAAAATTAAAGATAGTAATAGTTTCATTTTAAATAAGAAGAATTAATAAAATTAATAAAATATATATTGTTTATAATATTTATTATTTGTTTTTATTTTTATTTTTTAATACTTAAAAAGGTTATTTTTATTTATACTTTTTTTATTTACTTTAAATTTTATTTTTTTTAACCAGTTTTTTGATCTTTATTTTTAATTTTTACCCTTATGGAAAATCCTAAAAATTTGACATCAAATTATAAAAAATATCTTTTTACCAGGATTTTTTTTAAAATTTTTTAAAGAAATAATCTCGGTTTATGATCATTCCAGAATGCTTATTTTTCAAGAGGATGTTATAGAAGGATATAAAAAATAAATAAAAAAATAAAAAAATTAGGCTAAAATAAGTTGGTTTTTGTATTTGTGTAATAATCTTTTTTTTTTACACAAATAATAAAATATTATTATTTGTTTTTCTTTTTTTTTAAAAAGATATTTTTTTATTATAATTTGTTTATTATAAAATATAGGTTATTTCTTTTTCTTTTTTTTTTTGGAAAAAAATTTATAAATTAACTTTTATTTGAATATTTTTCACTTTTTATAGAAAGAAAACTGATGAAAAAAAAATATTTTTAAATTATTTTAAAGTATTTAACATCTTTTAGGTTAGCTTTATTTATTTTTTAATTCATTTAGTTTTTTTGAGATGTTTTTCATTTCTAAGTTTTTAATTCTTCTTTTATAAAAGAAAATGGAAGCTGCTGAAATAGCGGAAACACCAGCAACAGGTATAGCAACGGCTACAGGGATTATATAGTTGTTTTTGGAATTATTATTACATGAATCAACAAAATTTGGTGATATTAACACTGAAAAATCTATAAAAATGAAATGTTAATAAAAAATTATAGCAAAATAAAAATAATTTCAAAAATATTGATAGTTACCGGGATCTATTAGGCATTCATTACAGTGTGGTAGATTCATTGAAATTGTAATAGATTTTGAATCCTTTTCAATAATTGATGTAGTAGCAAATGTTGGTCTTCCATTACTTATAACCCTATCTATAAAACGTCCATATAGGAGTTTATTTTGATTTTCGATTGTAACATAACTCTGGTGATTAATTGATCCTTTTTCTTGGCTATTTTCTATGTCATTGGTTTTAATATTTATTTCTTTTGAATTTTGGTTGCATTCACTACTGTCTTCTAATTTTGAAGTTATTGATTTATAATGTAGTTGTAGGGTATTAAGTGTGCTCTTATATTGATAGTTTGAAATGTTTACATAAACTTTTATTGAATTCTTTTCTATTGGGAATTTTATATTTGCAAACTCTATAACTTTATCATTTGTTATTATTTCCAATGTGGTTGAAATTTTTGTATCTGAATCTGTTAATTGTTGTTCGAAATAATAAAAGCTACCGTTTGATAATTTGTTGTTCAATTTCCAATTATTTTCGAGATTATGTTTGATAATATGTTTACCACCAATATCGACTTCAACTAAAGATACAACTAAGATATTATATTGAGCTGCACCGTTTTGAATTATACCTGAACCACCATCTATTGAAGGTTTACTTTCAACTAAATTACCTCCTCCAATATTTGTGTCATTTAATGAGTTACAATCAAAAGATTTGAAACCTGTATAACATTCACACTTTCCATTTACACATTTACCATTGTTCAGGTTGCATGCTGATGTACATTCATTTGATTGGTCATAGTCTTTAATATATTGGAATAATGATTTACCCTCCCAATCAATATTATTTTGACTAATAAAGATATCTTTAATTCCAGTTCCTGCCCCAATATTACATATTATAGATTCATGTGTGATGTTAACTATTTCGCATTCTAGAGTTCCAATTCTAATAAGTGGATCTTTGTGTTCATCGCCAAAGAAGCCATAAATTGTAACTTGGCCACCAGCCTCACCCACACTTTCAACACTTGATGCATAGTGATTTGAAAAGGTACAGTTTTCACCTGTAAACTCGATTTTACATTCACAGATACCAATATCATGATTACATTGACCATTTCCACCACATGTTGGATCTAGACATTGAATACCACTACAATCGTCAAATATTCTATTTTCAATGCACTGGCACTTTTCTGGTTGAATACATATACCATTATTAGAACAATTTGTTAAACAGATTGGCTCGTGACAGATATTACCTTTCCATCCATTATCACATCCACAAACTCCAGTATCATAGATACATTGGCCGTTTCCAGAGCAATTTGGGTCGGAGCATTGAGATAAACTGCAAGTATCACCAAAGAATGGTGTATTACATGAGCAGACACCTAAACTATAGTCACAATTTCCATTTTCTGAACACTGTGGATCCTTGCATTGTATTAGTTCGCAGCTATCACCCAATCTTCCTTCAAAACAAGTACATACTGATGTTTTATTATCACATAACCCAAATCCTGAGCAATCATTTTCACATGGTAGATAGGGATATTGGCATTCTAACCCTTGATATTCTGGGGAGCATGAGCATTTTCCTGTTTGGTCATTACATAAACCATGGTTATTACAATTGTTGGGACATGGCTTGAAAACTAATTCACAAAATTCACCTTGCCACGAGCTATTACATTGACAAGTACCTTTATAAATTTATAAAAACATTAATATTTAAATTTTGAAAAAAATTACTTCAGAGAGTAAAAATATTAATACTAACCTGTTTGATTAAAACATATGCCATGGTTAGAGCAAGTTGGGTCAACACAATCTTTGTATGGTGTATCACAATCTATACCTTGCCAATTGTTATAACATTCACATTTGCCTTTAGTTTCATCACAAACACCATTGCCATTACAATTATTTTGAGAATCACACTTTAAAAATTAAAATTTGGATTAGAAAAAGCATTAAAAATAGAAAGAAAATTGATTTGGTTTAAATATTTACTTTATAGCCTGAGCAATCTGCTAAAGTTCTTCCAGTATTGCATGTACAAATTCCTTTTAAAATTTAAAATTATTAATCTAACTGTTTTTTTTTTTTTTATTTTAATAAAGCTTTTACCTACCAGTTTGATTAGCACAAGTACCAGCACCTGAACAAATTTTACCACCATTAATTTGACATTGAATAAAATTTAAATTACAATTTTCTCCTTGATGTGAAGGGTCACAAACACATTTACCTTCTACTTGATTACAAGTTCCTCCATTCGAACAGGTTGGGTCTGCACAGGTATATCCAGAACAGTCATTCAAAGCAAATCCAGAATTACAAACACATTGTCCTGTTGATAAATCACAAATACCTCTGGAATTACCATTACAATCATTTGGGCATGGTTTGTTGTTAAGAAGTGCATTTGTTGTTTTGATATAAACTTTTTTTGATAATGAGTTTGTATTCAAGGTTACTAATTGGGTATTTGAGGGTGTTGTTGTCATTGTACACTGAATTTCATAAAAAGAAGATGATGTAACGGAACAAGTAGCACTTCCAACAGTAATTGATTGGGGAACATAGTTTAAATAGCTCGAAAAAAATGTACCTGTTATTGTGGCTTTGTTTGAATTTATTACAATTGATGTTGGAGTTGGTTGTTTTGATATTGCTGGGAATGTATAGTTTTTGTTATTTGGTTGTACGAAATTAATCCAAAAATATTCAACTTTGCTCAATGATGGTATGGAACATGAATAATTTGAAGAAGAAACTGCGTTCCAAGTACCACATTTAAGTGTACTATTAAATACCCAATAAGAGGTTGGCTTTAAGCCAATATCGGTACCGGTTACAAAAATATATGGAAAGTTATTTACTTTAACAATTGAAATTTTTGGTGCAAATGTTGTACATATTGGATTGTTCACTAAATTGGTAAATGAATTTCCTGAAAAATCATTATAAACTGATGAATCATTTAGGTAACAATATATACAGCTTGGCAATGTACTAGATTGAAAAATTAAAAAATTAGTAAAAATAAAAATAAAGATTTGTATATTAATAAAAGTATAATTAAAGACCTACCCAACCATTTTATTATTTGTTACAACTAAATGGGTGTTACACCAGGATGATGAAACTGAACCAGTAATTAAATTGTTTGAAAAAACTAAATATTTAATTGACCCTGTGTAGTCTGGAAGAGGTGTATTTATGGAACTAGAAATTTCTAGAGAGGATGAATATTGGGAAAGTGTTGGGAATTTAGTAAGAGATCCACCAACCCAACGTAGACCAGTTCCTTGTGAAAGTTTAAAAGGAATATCATTATTGAGATGAAAATTGGGTCCAGGATTTAAAATTTGAATATTTTTTAAAAAACTATAAGTTGATAAATCAATAATTGCTGAGGGTTTGGTAAGAGTGGCTCCTGATATTGTATAATAAAAAAATCTACTACTACTTTTAGGTTTTGGAAAAGAAATTGATGGAGTTGATGGAAAAGTTAAACTAAGACTAACACAATCGATTTTTGAAATATTTGCTGCTGATGCTGTATTCCATCCATCATTTAAAGAAAATTGAATATACTGTAGATCTGTATAACCTGTCATATCAGGTATGTTCATAGTGTAAAATAAAAATGTTCTCAATGTTGTTTTAACTGCAGCACTATCAGTCTCTAGAGTTATTTTACCACCACCTAAAGTAACATATCCCAATCCATTTAAATATGACATTTTTATAACACTGTTAAAATCTTGTGAGTAAATTGAACTAAAATTTGTAATAAAAAAAGTTGGTGTTAATAAATTATTAAAATAATTTTTATATAAAAAACTAATATTTACAATTGATCGTATATTGCCAATTGACTATTAATGGTTGTTATACCTTTTGACCCTGCCAAAACCAAAGTATTTAAATTTTGAATTTTTGAATATAAAAGTGTTGTTGAAATAGTGAATTGGTATAGTTGTAAGAAAGTGAAATATGGGAAGCATGAAAAGTCACTAGCTGTTGGGGAAACGGTTGTGGTTGCTTCCCAATTTAATCTTAAGCTTGAAATACTTCCATTTGTATAGCATGACACAGAACCTATTGAACAAAATGGATATACACCAGCAGTATCTGGTACAAAAGCTGTTGATAGTTTATATTTTGTAACTATATTTTTTAAGCAATTATATTCATTTGTGGGTGGTGCAATTGAAAGAACAAATTTAAAATTAAAAATTAAAAAAATGAAAAAGAAAATTAAAAACTTCATTTTTTTTTTAACTTAAATATAAAAGATTGTGTATATATGTATTTTTTAAATAAATTTTTTCCACCAGTAATAGGAATTTCAAACATCCATTTTTTATAAAAATTTATAAAAATTGATAAAAATTTATTATAAAATAAAATAAAAATAAAATAAAAATAAAAATTTTAAAGGAATTCTTTATGTGCGATGGGTTTCGAAATGGCGTGGTGTAAAAAAGCCTTTCCACACAATAAAAAATTGAAAAAATTATAGAAAAGATATTTTTAACACAAATTTTCAGTTTTTTTTTTCTCTGGTTTTTATATTCGTAAAAAAAATTATGGCGAAATGGGCATTAAAAAAATCCCATGCAATAATATCTTGTCATCTTTATTTTGAATTTTTTGGAAAATAATTTTATTTATTGTTTTGATATTTATTTAAAGAATACTATTATAAATCTTCTTTGAATTCTTTAAGTTGAGATTTGTAGAAAATCGGTGATAAGTGTGATAAGAAAATAAAAATTAAAAAAATATTGAATAACTATAAATTTTTAATTTATAAAATTCGGGTTTTATAAAGTATACTAACCCACAGGATTGATTGATCAATCTTTTCTCTGAATTATTTCAAAGCTTTGGTTTTGACATAAATTTACCTTGGGTTATTGGTTTATAGTGTATTTGCAAAGTATTGGGGTGCCCTTAAAATGAACACTCATTAAAATATTTATGGGTATTGATTTTGTAAAGCTGGGTAAATAAATACTAATTCGGAACTATTTTAAATTGTGATTACCAACTAATGATCCGGATCAAGATAAATTTTTATTATTTTAATATAATTTAGGAAAACCCTATTTCTATAAAATATTACTTTTAATAATTTATTGAACATTCTCCTGCTTGTGATAAAGTTATATTTTAAATTATGTTCATTCATCCTGAATCACTATGTTATAATTAAAATTGATAAAAAATCAGCTAGCGTGCATTGTAGTTAAACTAAAGAAATAGTACCAATTTATTTATTTATTTATTATTTATTTATTTATTTTTTTTATTTATTTATTTATTTATTTATTTATTTATTTATTTATTTATTTTATTAATTTATTTTATTTTATTTATTCAAAAAAAATTAAAAAATAGGTTGTAATAGTAAAAAACTGATTATTTAAAAATTATATATTAGGAACAAATAAAACCATTTTTCTCAAAATAATTATGTTTATATATTATCATACAATGACAGTTAAAAATTTTGTTTTTTTTGAATTTTTTTTAAATTTTATTTTTTAATTTTTTTTTTTTTTTTTTAAAATTTTTTTTAAATTTTTTTTAAAAATTTTTTTCAAAATTTTTTTATTTACAAATTTATAAAAAAAATAAAAATAAATTTTAAAAAATTAATTTAATTCAATTCCCATTGCAACTTTGATTTAATTAAATCCTTTTTTTTATAATTTTTAATTTTATTTTTTCGTTTTATTACTTTTTTTTTTATATTTATATTTGTTTTAATTATTTTATTTAATTTTTATTATTTTTTTTTTTTTTAACACATTTAATCATATAAAACAAGTGTGTTAATATAAAGTATATATAAATAACATATAAATAGAATAGTATATATACATAAAATATAAATATAAATAAATATAAATATAATAATATAATAATAATAAAATAAAATTGTTAAATAAAAAAATAACTTTTATTGTAATAATAGATAACCAAATAAAATATCTTTTTTTTTATTATTATATTCAATAATAAATAATATAATAAACATAAAAAATAGTTTATAATAATCAAATAATATTTTTTTAATTTAGATTTTTCAAAAAAAATTTTTAAAAAAAAAAAAAATGAATCCATATGGTTTATATTATGGTCAACCAATACCAAATATGGGAGAGCCAATTTATAGTCAAAATCCATTAGGTATTTTATCACCAACAGCAACTACTACCACTACTACCACTACAGCATCACCACCAAACTCTTTAGTAACAACATCACCCGTAGTTAATGGCAGTAATAGTACAACAACACCAACATTAAGTGGTAATGGTAGTTCCCCAGCAACACCAAATTCATTAGGCAAAACAGAAGGACCAGGGTTAATGAACTATCAACGTGAAAAATATGGACCAAATTTATTTATAAAGAATGAAGACGGTTTTTACACATGTTTCTTTTTAGACTGTAACAAACCACTACAAGCAAATTTCAGTCGTCATATTTCTAGACATGAATTAAATGGGGACCAAGTCGATCCAGCAAAAGTTAAACAAATCAACTCACCAGTATTATCTTCAAGCGGTAAATTAGAAAAGAAAGAAAGTAGTGGCGGTGATATGAGCCCAATGATGATTAGTGTAAATAGTAATAATAGTAACAAAGCAACAACTACAACAAATATATCACCAGTACCACCACCATCATATCTTAGTAATACTTCACCACCACTTCATGGTTCTGCTGTTGCAGCCAATGCACCACCAATGAATCCTCTACTTCCAGTTGGTATTACACCAATAGTAAGTAACACCACAATAATGTCAAATATGATGACAACTCCTGTTAAACAAACACCAATAGCACAACCAATTACAACACCAACCCACGGAATAGTTCAACCAAATCCACAACTTGGTAATTTTACACCAACTCAAAGTTTAACTGCAGCAGCAGCTGCCGGTTTAATGGGATCATTGGGTTTCCCAGTTCAAAATTTTAGTCATCCAGGTACTCCACACCAAAATTCATTCCAATATCCAGTATATAATACTGGTAATCCAGCTAATCTCCCTGTTCAATCTCCAATCAACCCACTCAATCAAACACCATCAAAAATAACTCCAATCCGTGCTGCTGCTGTTGCTGCAACAGCTGCCGCTCAATCACAAATTACTGATGAAATTCCAGTTCCAGAACAAAAACCTGGTGTAACATATCAAACTTGTCAACATCCATTACATCAAAAATGGTGGTTTACATCATCAATACTTCCTATTAGTGAATTTTATCCACGTGCAAGTAAATGTAAAAAGTGTTATATTAAGCAACAACAAGATGCTAGACGTTCAAGAACTCAACCAGGTGGGCAATTACCATTCGAAGATGCTTTTGCAACTGGAGGTGTCACTCCAATTAAAAATCATCGTATGTATATCATTATGATTATTTAGGTAGTCTTTTTTATTATTTATATTAATGTTTTAACTTTAACTTTTAGTTCAACCATTTTTAACATCAAAACCACTAGGTACACCACAAACACCAACATCATTAAATTTACAACCAAATCATTTAACTCCACACCATATGGGTGGTATTCCAATGGGATTCACACCACAATCAATTGTACCACAACCAATTGTAGCACAACCAATTGTACCACAACAGGTATCACCATTTAGCTTACCTCATCATTTAGCAGGCGCAACTACACATCCACTTCAACAAACAGGAATGATTGGAGGAATACCATCCAGACAACAAAATGAACTTTTAAAACAACAATATCTTTTACAACAAAACCAAGCTACTTTACAACATGCTCAGGCACAACTATTACAAGCACAACAACAAGCACATTTCGATGATCGTGAGTTAACACCAGAAGAAAGATTAGCAAGACAAACAGAAGTTCAAAAGTTATGGGGCAAACAAGGTTATACTAAACAGGGTTATCGTCCAAAACAAAAACCAAGTAAACAATTTATAAGAAAAGAAATGTTTGATCATTTAAAGAATTATTTATCACAGTTATTAAAAGATCCAAGATCCAATGCATTTAGAGAATCTGCCGATCCAACTAAATTAGGTTTAAATTCGATTGAAAAGAGATTAAATATTACAATTAAGGAACAACAATCATATTTAGGTTATCAGCCACCACAAGAAACTGAGGATGAGGATAAACGTGAAAAACAAATTCAAGAAGAGATTGAACAAGAGGAACAAAAAGAGCAACAGGATGATGAAAGTGGTGTAGTAAAAAAATATTTAGATTTTAAACAATTTGATAGGGATATTAGATTAGTATTTTCAAATGCTATCCAAAACAATAGTGAGGGTAGTAAAGTTTATGAACAAGCAGAAGAGTTAGAAATAGAGTATGATGAATTTTATAAGAATAGTTTAGAAGAAATATCAAATAAAGTTAAATACGAATGTGAAGTATTGAAATTTGTATGCGACCATTGTAAACAACCACCCATTTCATACCAACCACCACCAACTGTTGATATAAACGGCACCATTATCCAACATGAACCAACAGAAGTTTTACCATTACTAACTTGTCAAGGCAGTTGTTTAAGATCATTCCATTTACATTGTCTTGGTTTCCCATGCACCCCAGAACATTCAAAACAACCATACATTTGCAGAGAATGTATTCATGGTAAGCCAGTACTTCATTTTGATCCAGAAGAAAATCAATACTTTTATTTCTATTATGAGGGTATCAATGCAAACCAAGATGCTGAAGAAGAATATAAATCATTATCAGAATCACCATTATCATCGACATCAACACCAACACAAATCATTTCAGATATTGGTGTATTAACTAAAGAGGATAAAATTCAACTTAGAAAAGATGAAGAAGAAGCACGTTTAAAGGAAATGTATTATGATCCATATTGGTGTATGTGGAGATGTAAATCTAAAATTACAAGTAAAAGAGACGAAAGACAAAAATCGATTCTTCAAAAATCAAAGGAATTAAATTTAAGAAAAAAAGTTCAAAAAAAGAAAAATCCAAAAAGAATATAAGTTTTAGATATCAATATAATAATAATCGATCAATTAAATAATAATAATGTAATTAATATATAAATAAATTAAAATTATTTAAATTTAAAATTTTTTTTTAAATACAAATATTTTTTTTTTTTATTGTTATACACAACAATTTTAAAAAAAAATTTTCTTTTTTTTTTTTTTTTGATTTTTTTTTTTAAATTTTTTTTATAGTTTTTAAAATTATAATTTCATAAATTTAATTTAGGGAAAAAAAAGAATGTTCAGATTAATAAACCCAATTAGATTAAACAGTAAAAGTATTAGATATTATACCACATCCAACAGTGAACCATTAGTATTATTAGAAAATCATTTAGTTGATGGAAAATATACAGGTATCAAGATTTTAAAATTAAATAAACCAAAAGCATTAAATGCATTAAGTTTCGAAATGGGTGAGGATTTCAAAAAATCCGTTGCTTCATTAGAAAATGATAAATCATTAAAATGCTTAGTTTTAACTGGTGCCGATAAAGCATTTAGTGCTGGTGGTGATTTAAATTTTTTAATGGATAGAGCTAGAGACCAACCAATTAACAATCAAATCATTATGGAAAAATTTTATAGAACATTTTTATGTATTAGAAATATACCAGTACCAATTATTTCAGCAATTAATGGTCATGCCATTGGTGCTGGTTTTTGTTTAGCTTTAGCCACCGATATCAGAGTTTCAAGTAATAAAGCACAACTTGGTCTTACCTTTACTAGTTTGGGTATTCACCCAGGTATGTTTTATATTATATACATGAATTTGAAATTTTTAATTTTATATTTTTCTAATACCTTTTTTTATATTTTAATTAAAAAACAATTAATGGTTATTAGGTATGGGTTGCACTCATTTCTTACCACGTATTGCAGGTAGTCAAGTTTCTTCACGTATGATTCTTACAGCTGATGTTGTTTTGGGTGATGAGGCTAAGCAATTAGGTTTAGTTGCTGAATCAGTTGATCCAGATCAAGTTTTACCAGTAGCATTAAAAATAGCTGAAAAAATTTCAAATAACTCTGCAATCTCAGTGCAAACTGCCACTAGAACCCTTAGAAATATGCAAGATGTTGGTTTAGAGACTTCATTAACTCGTGAAGCTTCAGCTCAATCTCAATGTTATGCTCATCCAGATATCCTTGAAGGTATTGCCGCTATTAAAGAAAAGAGAAAACCAAATCATAATGAATTATTAAAATAAATAAAAAAAACAATACTAATGTAGTAATAATAATTATATCACCTTATAAGATAAGGTATCGACATATGTGTTTTAATATATTTATCATTTTTTTTTAATGAATATTGTTTTTGGATTCAATATATTTATTTTGTCTCACCCACACCCACTCCTTCCAAAGTATAAAAATAAAAAAAAACAAAAAAAAACTAAATATTATCTTTTTTTAGGCAATAAAACACTCTGTTAAAGTTTTTGTTTTTTAGACCCCCACTTATATATCACTTAAGTGTAAATAAATAATTATATATTTTTACAACAATTTCTTTTTTTATTTTAATATTTATATGTGAATCTTTTTTTTTTTTAAAAGGGGTAATTGTGTGTTTTTTGTGTGAAAAAATAGATATAAATGTTCATTTTTTTTTTTTTTTTTTAAATTATATTTTTAATTAGTTTAATTTTGTTTTTTTATTTTTATTTTTTTAATTATTTTTTTTATTTATTTTGATTATTATTGGTTATTATTTTTCATTTTTTCATTAATACAATTAAAATCATGTATAAAATTATTTTGATTTTAATATTTGTTATTTTTTATAGTTTTAATTTGGTTTTTTCATTAGATGTTAAAGAATATTATAGAAATGGAAGATTTTATAATTTAGAAAAAAAACAAGGTGATTTAAAATTCATCAAAAAGTCACATGTAAACTCACCAAATTCTCTTTATTTCACTGATGATAATTATCTTTATTATCATGAGATCAGTGACTATACAGTGTCTAATAAAGTATTAGAGGTTTCACCCGATTTAAAAATAATTACAATGAAATCTAATTATTCAGTAAGTATTTTTATAAATGTTATTTTTTTTAGATTATAATAATTTTTAAAATTAAATTTTTTTTTTTTAAAATAGATCACCTTCAACAATAATAATGATAATTACACATTTAAAGATAGTATTCAAAAAGATTTTTTAAATAATGATGTAATTTTAATGGATATATTAAATGAAGGTTTAACAAATTACGATATTAGATATGACACCTTTTATAAAAAATGTGATCGTGGTAACCTAAAGTTAGATGGTATAGTAGTTGGTATGGACTATAAATGGAATGAAAAAGTAAATACTACATTTTTTGCAATTTCATTGGCAGATATTTTGATCCCAAGAAAGAGCTATAAAAAAATTGTAACCGATATCCCCATCTCAATAAATCAACTATCAAAATTTAAAAGCCACTATGATAAAATTAATAATATTTATTATTGTCTCATCATCAATGAATCAACAAAAATGAAGAGTTTAGTCTACTATAACATTGATTTAAAAATACTAACAAGTATGGATATCGATTTAAGTCATAATAGCCATCATTTGGATTTCGACACCATTTCAATGTCATCAATAAATGATAATGTCAATAAAATTTATATAATGGGATGGAATAGTTTAGAAAAAAAGACAATAATACATTCATTTGATTTGGGTGATCATAAATTACGTATTGTTCATAAAGATGAAGGTTATCCATCAGTCATTTTCAAGAGTGAAAATCCAAATTATTTAGTGTACCATTGCAACAAGTCTAATACTTTAACAGTATTCAATTCAAATACCAAAGAAATTAATCATTATTTTTTTTCAATCAACACATCCATTAAAAGTGCCTATGCCATTTTTCAACAAAAAGAAATGTATCATAAAAATAATCAAAACATCATTAATCTAATAATAACCTCTTTTGGTTTCTTTTTCATTTTTAAATTTTTATTAATTTTATATCATTTTATCTAACATATAGTTTTTTTTTTAAATAAATAAATAATAAAAATAGAAATATTACATAAAATTTTTTTTCGTTTTTTAAATATCTTTTTTTTATTTTTTAATTTTTTTTTTATTTTTTAATTTTTTTTTTTATTTAATTTATCAACGAAAAAAGATGATTAAAAGATTATTTCGATGCAATAATAGACTAATAAAAAATACAACCTTTAATATTTATAATTGTAATCATAATTATAACAATAGCTATTTAATTTCTAAAAGAGGTTTTTGCAATAATAGCACAGCAATTAATAAGAATGATATTATCGTTAAAGAAATCAGTTTAAATAAAGATAATGAAGATGTTGCCAATATCAATAGTGAAAATGAAGACATAGTATGCTCAAGTGAAAAGTGTGGAATAACATTTAGGGTCCCATCCAAATTAAGAGGTAGGAAGGGATATTGCCCATCATGTGCACACGAAATGATATTTACTCGTTATACATCAAACTATAAAAATATACTAAGAAAAAGAAGAGAGAAATATTTAAATACTTTGGCTGAAGAAAGCAAAACAACATATAGTTTCGACCCAATTAAAAGTAAGTGATGCCACTTTTAAAATTAAAAACTATAATTGTTTTCATATTAATTTATTTTTATATTGCACAGACAAACCATTTGGATTAAGTGTAGTTTTAGAAGATTGTAGAAGTTTACATAATGTTGGTAGTATTTTTAGAACATCAGATGGATCAGGATTTAGTCATATTTATTTATGCGGATTAACAGGAACACCATTAAATACACAGGTCACCAAATCATCATTGGGTTCAGAGGAAATGGTAGAATGGTCATTTTCAAACGATTCTCTAGGTGTAGTAAAAAAATTAAAAGAGCATAATGTTTTAATAATTGGGATTGAACAAACCTCAAACTCAGTACCATTATTAAGTTCATTGGAATATATCGAAAAAATGGCATTAAATAATAACATGGAAAATAATATGGATAATAATAAATATAGACCAATTTGTGTTGTAATGGGTAATGAAATTGCTGGAATTTCAGAACATGTAATTAATGAATGTGATATTATATGCGAATTACCAATGTTGGGAAACAAAAACAGTTTAAATGTCAGTATCACTTTTGGGATTGTATCATATATTTTATCACATCACTTTAAATCATTAGCATTTTCAAAGAAATAATTGTAAATAAATAAAAAATAAATTTAAATACTTTTTTTTTTTTTTTTTTTGAAAATCATTTGTTTTTTATAATAATGCAAAGCAACCATACGAAATTTCTTTTTTTTTCTTTTTTTTTTTGTTTAATTTTTACCCTTTTTTTTTATTATTTTTTTTTTTTTATTTTTATTTTTATTTTTTTAATTTTTTAAATCATTTTTTGTCCAAAATTAAATTAAATAACAACTGCAACTTAATTAAAAAAAGATGGATAGATTAGAGAATTTGTTTTTTTCAGTTTGGAGAAATTGCTTTTTAAACAAAGAGATATTTAGGTAGGCTTGTATTTTAGAAAATTAAATAATGCATTCAAATTCTAATTTTAGAACCAATTTTTAGACATTTACAACTATATAGATTAAATAAAAGGGCATCTGTATCGTCCATTGATGAATTAATGAATCATAAATATAGGGATTATATTTCAATTTTATGTTATAATTCAAGTCAAATATTGGATAGAGTTGGTATGATTCCATTTTCGGTGACTGCATTATCCCTAAATAGCTATAACGAGGATA